TGAGCTAAATTGATGCCTTTCCAGTCTGATGGTCCAAAACAGGCCTGAATGGGGGCTGCTTTGGTTTCCACAAAACTGCTTGAAAAATTTGCACAAATTTGGAACTGAAGAGTGCATATCTCTAATGTAACTTGCACAAATCATGATACTGTACATAAATTGTACAATCAATCAAGCAAATTCTCTAGATTCAAGCTGCTACACACTCCACTTTGGTCACTTTGAAATGTCTGACAATTAATTTCAGATGCGCAAAATTTTTGACCTGCTCTGTAATCTGCACATTTGGGGTTCTGCTTCATAATTTGTACAAATTGCAGAACAGCACCCAAAATGTGCATATATTTATACACTTTTTAAAAAATACCAAAATACCCTCCCATTTTAAAAAATGGAAGGCCTTGTGCTGGCTGATTTATATATCTGATTTAGCTGACATTAGATTGGGTTGCAGAATGTAATCCATGGAGCCAAATCAAGAAAATCCTTTAGATATTCAATTCCCTCCATTGGATTTCTCATACATTGTATCTAGAAATACAATGGTCCATTGGAAGGGCTAAAGCAGTCCAGACAAAAGTCAAAGTCCAGACAAAGATCAAAGGAGCCAGAGAATAGTAAATAGTCAAAGGCAGGAATTCTTTGATTTAAATCCAGATCTATTCTAGGTTATTCTGTAAAAGAAGCTCTGTAGTAACAACCTTGACTACTGTAAAGGATTTTAATGTTAAAATCTGATGGTGTTCTATCGACCAAACTGGCACAGCAAAGTACAATCTTTGCTCAAGGCAAATGTGCTGAAGGCAACTATGCTTGCATCAGTGAGCATGCCAAGGCCCAGGCAAATGCATGCAGCAAATTCAGAGTTCATTCACTCCTCAATATGAAATGGTATTATTGGAAAGCCTGATGCAAATGACTTGTGTCCTTTTTTTAGAATGCCTGGTAAAGCATGTCCTCACTTTAAATACTATTTTAATTAAAATAGTATGCCATGACTCTGTAGCAAACTGAGAGTGCAGAAACTGTCAAAAACAAGTCAAAGTCTATGTCCACTTTACTGATCAGGTAAAAACAAAGTAAAAAATTAAATAAAACTGAACAGGAGAACATAATCAAGCTCAATACTTTCTCCAGGTTTTCAAACTGTGAAAGTGGATGGCAGAAACTGCAAGTCTAAGAGATGCAGCACTCTGTGTTGAGAAGGAAGTGATTTATTAGACTGTCTGGAAAGAACCATGAAGTTCCCACCCTTTTCTTTGCCTTGAAACATTCCATAAATCCTTAGTCAATGGGTGTAGATTCTACAGCATCTACATATTTTCCTTCTGGTCTGCATTATCATTTGCTAACCATGACATGGGGCTTAATCTTGAAAGACATTTTCAAGTACATGACTTCCTCAGCACTCTCTCAGAACTTCTCAACTAATTATTTCTGACAACTTTGAATCATCTGAATCTGTGAAAACTTTCTAAGCATTAAACAAAGAATCTTCTTAACTAAGGAAAGGAACGTGCTAATGAATCAATCCAGGTTGTCAGAGTATCACTTTGATTTTTGTCATTATACACAAGTTTTGAGATAGTTTCAACTAACTCTTTGGTAGAAATGGAACTGGTATGCCTTAACTAGTTGAAACGCAGCTGATTTAAAGAAGAACCAGTTATGGCAGGAAATGGATGGATTGTGTTCATTGACAAGAGTTTGGAATCCTATTCTGTCAAAAATAAATGTGTGATTAACTACAGCTTTCTTTAGAGATAGACTGACTGCACTTTTGTATAACTGTGAAACCAGCGTTGACCCCTTCAGTAAGTTGACAAGATCTGCTTGGCATTGCTATGATGAACAGACACTGCAGACACAATCTTTTGAAAAAATAATCTGTTCCATCTTTTTTTGCTACTGGTCACAAGCATGACATATTAGGAAAGGCTTGCTTCACTCATCTATTAGGATTGTTCTGTGTCAGTGGCTCCAAAAAAATAATAATGAGTAAGCGAGTCCAAAGGAACAACAGCGTTAGCAGAAAGCAGACAAAAGCAGACTTTTCTTAAGGGACAAAGGTGAACACCACAAACAAATGCTCTTCTTAATACACAAACTGAAGATTGAGAAATGGATGTAGACAACTTGATGGCAAATTGTGCAGATCTGCATCCTGAATTAATTTTTTTCAATGCATTCCAGCTCAGAACAGGGCACTGGGACATAGGCTCACAGTTGCCAGAGCGACTCTCCATAGCTCAATGAACAACTGTTGGTTGCTTCACAGAAACTTCCTCAGAAAATGTTTTTTGCCATAGATACATAAGTGCTTGTTGTGAAGCTGAATATTTTGAAACAGTTATATCCCATCCAATCTCAAAAAGGCACTTATTTAAATTAAAATAAGCATCCGGGGCTCATTTTAAAATGTCTCTGAGGCAAGTCAAAAAAGAGGGAGAAGAAATCTTGAAGGACATTTTCACTTTGCTCTATTTCCTCTGACTGAAAGCAAGATGTGCTGCAAGTTCCTTAAGCTGTTGAACAAATGCTTTTTTCTAGACAACTCACAACACCCACTGACACACCCCAGAAAGCCTAGACTGAGCTAAGCCAGCACTAACCCTAAACTGTCCTTTGTACTATGATTGCAGCAAAAGGTCAGAGTGTTATTTTTTCTGTTGTATGAAAAACAAACACTGCTACTCTTAATCCATAATCGCAAAACATTACCAGCACTATAAATGATAATCAACATGATGAAATCAGGCAACTGAAAACTAATGTCCAAATATAAAATCAGTTCAAAGTCTCGGAAGATTATTAAGGATGCCACTTAACTGGCTACTTGTGACCCTCTGAACAGAGAGGATTATGGTCATCCGTTTGAGCATGGGAGTAGAAGGGAGGCAAGGATCACCTCCTCATTTCTCCCCCCTTGCAAAAGATATAGACAGCTGATGTGGGCAATCCATGTCCTTTGATCCTGCTTGCAAGGAGAGGGGCTGAGGCCTCATAGGGATTTCTCACATTTCAGCAGAATCTCACTCCTCCATTTCCACACCCCGAAATACTCCCCCCCACACACACGCACACAGCACCAGCTTTGAAAATGCACTTACGACTTCAGGACCGCAACTGACATAGAAAGAACCATGCTGGGTGTAAGGACAAAGAGAAAGAGTTCTGTGGTTGGAGTCCCAACTCTAACTTAGAATGGATCTCTGATGTCGGAGTTGGGAACCCAGCTATCCTATGATCATCTAGGCTATGTCTAGCAGCTACAGGATTGTGTCTTTATGGTACAAAAATAGTTACCAACAAAAATTTGTAAGCCCCTTTTTCTGCTGTATGAAACAATGGGTAACTGACTGAAATTAATGAGCTGCAGATCAACAAAAGCACAAATCCTATGAAATTTCAAGAAAAAGCAGAATCCTAAGGAAAAGCATGGACTATCTGTCCAAAATATAATGCTACCACTGGGAGAAAGTTTGGTTCACTCTATGCCAGGATAGCGTTGTCTTTGAATAATTTCCTACCTGAATTTGTTTACAGTATCCTTCTTATCTCTCTGATCTAAAAAGTAAGGTAACTACATAGTACGGTGAACACCTCAGAGAAGGCAAGACCCTGCCAGAACAGTAGTCATTAGAGTTGTGCATACATTTCCAAACAGCAATTATGAGCACACACACATACATTCCCCAACAAATCATTCAATACTAAACCAGTTACAGGAAATAAAACTTAAGACTGTGATGGTAGTGGTGGGATGTGATAGTAATTATATCAGGTGCTACTTACTGAATGGCTGAATATGTGAATAGGCCCTCCCAAAAATACAAGATCAAAGAAATACAAGAATCATGAAATTTAAGTGCACTATCTACTATGTTCTACTTATGGCTAGGAGCTCTTTGTGCTATTTGAGATGCTGAAGAGAAAGTACCATGCACTGCTGACCATTTTCTTTACAGCAACTTATCTGTAACTAAAGATGTTTGCTTGTTAAAGGTCCTGAACACTGTTACAGTTTATTAAAAATTACTTGTTGGTACCACATAAGTCAACTAACACTGGTAAAGCCTTCAGCTTCTATGCGTAACTTTATGGAGCAAGTGTGGTACACAGATGCTACACTGCATGAAAACAACAATGATTCAGATTAATCCTTTCTCCCCACAAAATAAAAGGCACACACTGCTGAATAGCCTTTGGTCTAAAGGGAGAAAAATGTGAAGTATGCTTTAATTTCATCCCTAGGGCCCTTCAATTTCAATGCCCTGCCCTCTGTGTCTGCTGCAAAAGTATCTTATCTATACACATTTTTCACTTGAACCAAAACAGTATTTAGTCTACCCATGAGCAAGCCACTGAAAAACAGATGGGGACATATAGTTTGGACCCATTTCAACTAGTAAGAAAATGAAAACCATCTCTAATCACCAACTTATTTTGTTAGAAATATAACAGCTATAGATGCTTTATTAAAATGAAATGCTTCAACAAGTGCTTACTGCTCACTATGTCTGATGCTGTTATTACGATTTATATACTTTTGAAAAGAGCTCTCAAATAGAATACATTGAGTATAAATTTTACAACACTACTATTTAGTGTGCAATTTTATGCATATTTAAACAAAATACCCTAAATTCCCAGCATTCCCAGCCAGCATGGCTGACTGGGGAATTCTGGGAGCTTGCAGGACTTTTTTTCCTGCCTGATCCAGTAAGTATTACAAACTCAGTAATACACCTTGCTCTCCTGTTATGGGATTGCTGTAAACCATCATTTTAAAATGTACATTGTTTCTACCTTTTCTTGTAGTTAGGCTACGCATTATCAGATCAGGAAACCATTTGGTATTTACTGACTTCAAGGTATGCAATTTGTCATATTCATTCAGTTTAATATGGCTTGGGCAATAGAAAAGCTACTTGTGTGACACAGACTTTTCAATAAGGCCGAATATTATTAGAAGTCCCATCACATTGCAAGTTTCTTACCTCTTTAGTATGAGTGTGGAATGAGACTGACATGTCCAAAAGAAGCTTCCTTTGTTCCACTCTTCTGACAAAGTCCTGAATCCTCACTTCTAGATGTCGTGCTGCTTTGTAGATCTCTTCAGGGTCACATTCTCCAGTCTGAGCCAACTGCTCTGCAGCTTCCAGTAGCTTGTCTGCATTGGTATAGGTATTCTGCCAGTGAACAGAGCAAAAAACAGAGCACAACTCACAAAACTGTGGCACTGAATGCTCTAATGTGAGTATTTACACTTCCAAAATATAGGAATAGAAACCAGCATCTTAAAATGACAGCAGTGATTCTAACAGATGCTCTTTGCAAGAAGAGCTACTAAAAACCCACATACAATAATCTCCAAATAGGCATGAAATCGTTTCTCATTTGAAGTGTACACCCCCTCCAGAGCTTGCTTGTTTGATAGATAAAGAAAGCTCAGCATTCACTTATTCCTGTGCATCCTGGATTCTTTCAAAGATGACGTAAAGAAGCAACTCAGAATTAACCAATTCAGAGGCAGAAGCAGTCTCCCAGGAGATATTTCACAATGCAGTTAGTTATGAAGGAAGGTTGATAGTGAGCAGGTTGCAACATGTAACCCACATACAGTAAAATACTACCTTTGAAAAATGGGTTGCTTTTTCCTTGTCTTTACATATTGGTTGAAAAAGCACTCATTTGTGACATTTTAGTCCCATACAGTGCAGTTACAAACATCTTTCGGTCTCGTGGAAATTACCAATATTTAACGATGCACTTAAATGAATGCTAGATCTTTTTCACTTCAGTTTTTGCAGCGCACACACAGGGGCTGAAACATGTATGTGGCACTTCATGGAATCAAAAGGCATCCCATTTTTTTCTGGGAAGGTCAAAAGCACGTTCTTATTGTGTTATGGAATATTACTTGACATTGAATGGGTAACTATCCCTGCATGAACAAAGCCCTTCAAGAAAGACTCTGCAAAAAAATTAAATCTGCTTCCTTATGTTGAATCCTTGCATTCTACAAGTAAGAAGGCATTTACAGAAAGTACTGTTTACCAGCCAGGTAGACAGTCTGTAGGGCACTATTTAAGACTCAAATAGTGTTTGGCTGAAACAAGAGTCAACTGGAGCTACATCGTTCAGCTCTTATCATGTAGATTTCAGATTCCATGTTTCTGGTTCAGACAACAGGACAAAGCTGAGTTCTTCAGAACCTGGGAGAGTTCCAAGGCAAACTTACCTGAGTTCACCTCAACAGCTAAATATCAAAGTAGGGCACTATACACATTGTGTAACAACCACACAATTTTTCAAATATGATCCTAGGCCCTCCTCAGTCACCTAATCTTCAGCTGTGAACTTTATCAGTTCAGGGTCAAACTATAATTATATTAATTGCATAGTTAAGAGCCACATCAGTTGATTTCTTAAATGTACTCCTTGGTATGAGGGAGAGAGTGATTTTCATTGGAACTGGAGGGTATCGGGTGGGGAGGTTTAACTCTTCTGTTCCCCGCTGTGATCCCAATGGAAATGTTCCTCCTAGCACCACAGTTAGCCTTTGAAATGTTCCCTTTTCTTAAGGCTATCTGCAGCATGGATGGTGATGGCTGCTAGCCAAACTATTCAATAAAGTAGGGACAGTTAGATCTCCAGATATTTTGGGCAGTGACTTCCAGCACTCCTTTCAGCCAAGGACTGTCTCCTATATTCTCTGACAGGACCTTACAGGGGAATGAGAAGCTCTAGGCAGCTTATATAGTAGGAGGGTTCTGGAGTTTGTTCTTTTAGTGGGGAAGATGTTTTTCCTCCTCCTAGAGAGACTCAAATATCAAGTGCTTTCCCTCTGGCTGACCCATGAGTGCTCTCTTTCAGATTGGTTCCTGGAATTGTCCACAAGACCCCTCAAGCAGGAAGATTATGAAGCCCTGCATATACAGTCTTCAGTTACATGCTAATGTGTCTAGGGACTTGGATGTGATACCAATTGCCAATTAGACATACATGTGGTCATTTGATTCTTCAGGATTTGGCTCAAAGCTGAATGCGTGAACTGACTCTAGCACATAATGCAATAGAAAATTCTAAGATGACTCACCATACAAGCAAGCTGCCCCTTAGTAATGCACACATCAAGTGATGAGGGTAAGCAGGGCTCAAATTGCAAGGAAGACATCTTCATTTAAATATGGCAATATTGGCAGTGCTAGATAATGAAGTTGCTGCTAGCTCCATTGGCATAAGACCACCTCTCCCTTTTGTTTGCTTAATATAAGCACCTTCTTCCTTTAATACCAGCAAACAAGTATCCTATCCCTTTGTGTTCCAAATTATATGGTGCTCAAGCAGGGAGAAAAAAACCTATTTAGATACTCTCCCCTTTCTACCATAGTCCAGTAAACTGTAACTGACATGGGGCTCTGAAGGGCCTCCTTCCCTTCCCTTCCCTTAAACTACATACATAAGGCATGCAGTTCTTGCCTGCAGCTTTGGGACTAATTCACTGGAAAATTACCAGTTCCTGAAAATTAAACTCTGGTTTAGAGAAAAGAATTCTTTGTTGAAGTGAAGAACTACGAAGCGGCACCCATAAGTGATTCAAACATTCAGAAAAAGGATTTGGAACAAACTTTATGACATTTTACCACTTCGGAACACAGCTTGGGAAGTAGTTGAATACTGCAACCAGGTAACATTGTCCAATGTGCAAAATAAACACACAAGGAAAAAAAGTTTGTAGAGTAGCCTTCTAAGCTTGCTTTCTATACTGGTCATGTTTATGTATGTGTGTATTGAAGAGCAGGAGAGCAATAGAATATCTGCAACTTGCGTCAGTTTTTAGTTAGTATGTGCCTGGCTAGTATGAGCAGAATTTGCAACATCTCTAGATACAACTCTCCCCAAGGGCAGTCAAAGAACAAATGCAGAAAATGATCTGACCTAATGTAATTTTATTCAGTTTAGGATTCTTGTAATCAGCTTGAGATCTGACTCTTACCTACTCTAATTTAAACCAGACCTTTGAGAAATTAAGAGTGATGGGATAAAAAGGTAAGGGAGGTCTCCTAGGTAACCCAATCTGTCTTTCAATCTAATGAATGCCTATTCTCTCGTTACTGTATATTACTCTTTAAAAATTCTCCATATGATTTTAAAAATACCTAAAGAAATAATGCTTCCAGTCTACCATACAGGAAACCATGCTATTGCAAAATGCTTGGAAGAGGTTTTTCATATGCAGGGCTTTCAAAAAATGTAAGCACCAGATCAAGGAAGGTCAACTTTTCCCAAACACTGAGGAGGAGGAGGAGGAGATTTATACCCTACCTTTCTTTCTCTTGTGAAGAACTTAAGATAGCTTGCAAGGTTCTCTTTGTTCTATCCTCACAACAACCCTGTAAGACAGGTGAGGGTGGCCCAAAGTCGCCCAGTGAGTTTCATGGTTGAGTAGAGACTAGAACCTGATCTAGAGTGTTCCATTGAACATTCTAAGTGCCTGCGCTATAGTGGTTCTCCCAAGCTTCAGTTTATCAACATGACTGCCTTAACAAAGAAACTTCTTGTGCTTTTGGTTTAGGTGAAAGGACAGAGTTGGTGAGTCCCACACAATTTCTTTCTACTGTAATCTCTGCAGAACTTCCCAGGCCTGCACACACATTATAAATGAGTACATCAAAGATGCAAACTCACACTTTTTTCTACCAAAGTAGTCCCACACATCTGCCCAGTACAAGCTCAGTTGAACAAAAACGGTGCGCAAAATGGATGTTGTACTTTCTCATTACAAAGAGATTATGCCATTGGTTTATGCCTATGCTGGCTGATGAGGATTATTACCCAGATCATAGAGGCATTATAACAGTGTCTGTCCAGCTTCAACCCTTTCTTCTCCACACCAGCATAACCACCTGGCAGTGTTCAGTGACATGAATGTAAATCTCATCCTTCTCATGGTTGCCCCTACACTGTAGTGAACAGTCTGTCCTCCTGCCTCAAACACATCCCATCTCTGGTTTTGTCACTGAAAAAATATAATATCCCTGGTTCAAGCTAGTATTCCAAACCACATTTCCACATATATCTATTCAGAAGTTAAGGTCCACTCAACAGTTGGGCTTCTTCCCAGAGAACTGCATCCTTAATTATCCTCTGAAGTGAATCACAGAATGTAGGTGCATAAATGACATTTGTTAATGGCCACAACATCACTACATACAGACGACACATGTATCTAACACCTGTGTTTTGAGCATGTCTGGGTATTTAAAAAATTGTTTGAATTGCAATTTAATCATTTCAATTAGGCTTTCAGCTGGGTTATGCTACTGAGGCCAGATGGACACCTAACTTAATTTCATTAAGATTTCATCACTACTATAGCCTCATCTTGCATTCCTTACTCATAGCACACATGACTTGCTGTGGGATATCCACATTTTCATGCCATCTTCCTGCATCACACACATATTTGGCACTGTTAGTATGTACTGCTAGACTGATGATGCTTGTCCTTTAAGAACATGTCAGGAAGAGTTGGAAAGATGGGACATGAGCCTTTATGGTTTCTTTGTTTTTGTGTTTGCTTTTTAGCTTAATTAGCCAGATTCTCATGAAGAATTATGCAGAGCCTATGGGAATGGGGTGGTATATAACAATCAAAATGAATAAAATAAATAACTAAAGAGTACCTCTGCTTGCTCCTATTCTTCCAGCTTCACAGAGAGAAGTCTGAGACAAGCAACATCCCCATTTTTTCCATCTAAAAGCAAGGAAATACAGTACCCCCACCCCGTACAGACTTTCCCATGAGTTATCTATGCACAGATACAAAGGAGCAAAAGAGAAGAGATATTTTTTGAAAGGGGGAAATATATTGATGGTTCCTCCTAGAGCCCCGCAAAATCCCGAAAAGAAGAAATTGTGCTGCTGCTTGTACCCGTCCTTCTGAGCCAGTGAGACCTGCATCCCCTTTCCCTCCATCTGAAAGCAAGCAAGTAGAAAGCCTGATTCAAGGATTAGTCTGTTTTGGAAGGGGTTGTTCTCCCATTAAAAATCAGATCTGCATCTTAAGAGTGCTCCTGGGTCCTGCTCTGTCCTTGATCTACAGGTGGCAGCAGAGGCAAGAAACACATCTGTGCAACTACATCTAGTGCATCAGCTGTGGCCATTGCTGCATGATACCACTGTT